AAGCTTGAGGTTTGGCAAAAGGTGTCCTGACCCCCTTCCCCCTCGACACTGCCGGCTCGGTGGTTTGTCCCTTACCCAAAAGATGTGACAAAGTACTTCTTGACTCTGGAGTCGGGAAAGTCCGTCCCATGGTCTCCGGGGAGGCTCTCCACCTTCCAGCGGTCTCCGCCGTTGGAATCGATCTGCCAGGAAGCCATATCCTCTAGGAGAAACGGACCAAGGTCAGATTCCCCTGGGTAAGTGTACAGTTGGCCCTTCCCTCCTGCTGTCAGGAGGGAGGGAGGTATAAGGCTGGGCTTACTCAAGCTCCCATCTCAAGGCGAGCACCCCTCCAAAGTGCCTTTCCTCCAGCACATTCCCCCCTGTCCCCACCATGTGGGCTCTGATCCGGGACCCTCCCTGTCCCACCTTGTCCTTGACGGGCTCTACTTGTAGCATGAAGCTGGGAAAAATAGAGAATATTACCAGAAATTCTAAACTAGCCTTTCCTTCCTTTCGTTCACACTGTTGCTGGAGGGCTCTGGGAAACACCCAAGTTTCAGTTCTCAAAACATGAAGTATGAAGGGCCTGTGATGGTACTTCTGTTCTTAATGGCTAATGTCAGTTTGTCCCAACGTGGCCCACTGACTTGACTGACGTTTCCCCTGACACCCTAGCTATGTAACTGAGATCCAAGGGGGCCCGAGGACTGGTTTGTGGGTTTGGTGGCAGGTCATGGGAACCTTCTGGGCTAGCTCAGACCCCCCTCTGCCCAGGGCAGGAGGGATAACTGTGAGGGTGGGCGTCCTCTGCATTGGTGGCACGTGGTGACCCCATACTCGTGATCCCCACCAGGTTGGCCTGGCATGTTCCGGTCTCCCCGTTCAGACATTCAGACTGAGCTGAGAGAACCTTAAAAAAACAGCAGTGTTTCTCTACCAAGGCTTTCCAGAACAGTCACCAAGGGAGCTTTTCCAAATTGCTCTCTTGCTCCCTCTACTAGAAGCCCACACCTATTCCCTGGGTGCCCTGGGGCTCGCCAGTAGAGAACCAGGGGAACAACACAGAAATCCAGCAGTGGGGCTGAGCCAAGCACAGGCTGCAGGCGGGCTCTGTGGAAGCTGTGTGAGCTGAGCCGGCAGCTCAGCTGGGTCGCTTCAGAGTGGAATCTGGGGCAGGCAGAGAGATTGGGTGTCTGGGCCACTGTCTGTGGGGCCTCAGAGAGGGGCCCGAGGGCCCTTATCAGTCAGGACCAGGCCCCAGCAACTGGGCAGTTCTGGATCTTCCGGTAGGACACTCATCACGGGCCTAGCGCTCCCCATCTATAAAAGGGAGCCAACCTACATATTTGGTCAACTCTCGGGATCCTCGTGAGGGTCAAGAGAGAAAACCGACGTGAAAGGGGTTCCAAGTGTACAAACTACGCCTCAGTTGTAGCCCCAACAAGAAGCCCGGTGCCTGGGATGTGGTAGGTGTTCAATGAAGGGAAAAAAACCACTGGCAGACAGAAGAGAACATTCAGAGCTACGCAGGGGCCTCAAATTACGCAGTCACCTCTTGAAATCCTTATTTCCTTCATCTGGGTAATAGGGATAACAGGAGGATAATGACATTTGTGAAGACCTCAGTCCAGTGCCTGATGCAGAGGAAGCCCCTCCAGAAATGTTAGGCAGCTTAGACCGAACTCAAGAGAGGACGGTGAATGTGTACTCTGTTCATTCAACAAACGTTTTCTAAGCACCTGCTATGTGAAGGCATCATTGCAGACACTGGGCGGAGAGGGGCAAGCAAGACCCATGAAGTCTGGACCTTGAAGTCTGTGGCAGAGGGGGGAAAAAAAA